TTACCTATGAGAAGTGTGTCATTTACTATTTATGAACCTATTAAGCTTGCGCAGTAGGCCTAAGAGTTCAAACAGTCAAAATGGCCTTGAGAATTCTTCTTGGATGCCAATTTGCTCCTTAAATCAAAATGGGGAAGATGAGATAATGAGAACAGGCCTTTCTCCAGGCTCGTTATCACCAGTTGTAAAGTAATCCATTGTCTGCTTTCCTCCACTGAAGGTGACAGTTTTACCATTGTCCCCCAATTTTACCCCTCCTGGCATTTTTCAGGACTTTGAAGTAAAAAACATTGTTAGTACAACTGTTTACATGTTTTGATTCTCTGGCTTTTTGGCCTTAAGAGACTTCAATGATCCTGTCCTATTCCTGTATTTCACCTTAACACTTAGTAACAGTAACATTGCATTTCTCACAAGCTCAAGATTCCTCCTGATCATCCTCAATTCTTCCGGTCCCTCTGGCAATGCTACACCAAAGGTTTATCGACTGCACTGCATTGGCACCTCTTTTTATTAGGGAGTTGATGTGTTCATGGGCCTGACGTAACAGTTTAGCAGTATACAGCACATCATATTGTAGCGCCTTATGCAGATTACTAACTATAAAAATGTGAATGCCCTCTTGTGTTTGAAAATGTGTATTGTTCTATGAACAAAATTGTGTTTGAAAATATGTATTGTTCTATGTATTGTTCTATGTACAAGCAATACCATATTCAAAAGACGATTTCATATTCATATAATGTATGATAATGCCTTCATCCTGAAGATATGAAATGATGCCATGAAAACCAAGTGAACTATGCAGCATATATAGTACTGCAACCTTTCAATGTACCAGTATTCTAATTTGAATAGAAGTTATTTGTCATATTTAGTTGAACCTTGACTTTCATGGGTTTAACTTTCATGGATTTATTTGCAATTTTGCCATCAATATTAAATTGGAGATTAGATAGATAGATAGATAGATAGATAGATAATTTGTGTCATACTGTCACACAATCACAAATGACCTGCATAGACTAGAAAATCTACAGAAAGCTAGTTCTGACTGCATACCAGGGTTGAGCGAGAGAACTGCCACTGTGCTTTCCCCCTGCTGGCTCCCCACTCCTCCCCCTTGTGGGGCAGATGGCACAGGAGCTGCGTTCCCGCTCCTCGAGTGACTGTCAGCCAGGGTGGTCTGCCCTTGGTCGGCTGAGACTGTGTCGTGCTGCCTGGCAGGAGGCGCCATGATGGGCACCTCCACTGTCCAAGACAATGTCGGCGCCCCATTGGATCCACCATGAATCAAAGTGTTTAGCATGCACATGAGTCAGAGGCTTGACACATTGAAAAAAATGTTAATTTTCAAGTAAATGGTAGATGGACCTATCAACAATGTAGGCTAACACTGAGAAATACAGAGAGAGAGTGGGGGAGCTATGCAGTACACCTATGGTCAACGGTATTAAGAGTTAAGGTTTGGCCTAGAGGGGCCTAGAGGTATTCATGGTTTTTCCACTTTTGCAGGGGTCCTGCACCCCTAACCCCACCAAATGTATTGGGCTGACTGTAGCCTGAACATTTTAGAGGGTGAAGCACCACCTTTTAGAAATGAAAGATCTTCTGTCAAATTTTTAGAGCTCAATGCATGGCTTTAGGGAGTACTGGGAATTATAGAACTTGTTCTATCTAAACATGCATAGGATTGGACCCTATTAATCTTAAACTGGTCGGAATACTTCATGTGAAATTTGGTGAACATCAAGTAGTGCCAGAGATGGAAATGGGGTAATTGCTCCATCAAAATGAAACATTATCTGCCACATGTAATGAACTCTGGCTGCTAAGATTGGTATTCCTAGTAGCTTCTCAGGGAAATTTTTAGTATTTTGGCATATTATTCCTTTCCTCCTCTGCCTTAGGGTGAAGGAGCTACTTACATTGTCTGTTAGAGAGGATGACTGCAAATGAATTTGTTGAATGTGGGGAACTTTTTCCTACAGCTACTGCTATTACAGAAAATACTAACCATTGAATATTCAAAACGTATTCCACGTAAGATTTACAAATAGGCAAAATCTGATGGGTATATGAAGAATTTTATCTGTCCATTTGCCAGAATTGAAATCCGTGAAGCCAAAACTTCTGAGACAGATTTACATTATTAAAGTGACAGAGCATTCCTCTATCCTATATCCTTAGGTACACTTATCGAAGAACGTAAGAGTAATGCTGAATGAAACCAAAAGCCTCTCTCGAGTTGAGCACTGTGTTCTCAGTCATCTACCAGCTGCCTGGGGAAGCCCACAATAGCAGCTGCAGCAGTAGAATTTAGGACATGAGTGCAACTGTCTGAAAGAGCAGTAGCTAATGGATGAACTGTATAATCAATACATAAGTAGACAAACAAACAGCACCTTTCTACTCATATTCCCAGCAACTGGTCTAGAGGTATGCTCACTACAAGAGGGACTTACTCATGAGTAGATGCATCTATGGTTGTGTTGTATGGCACGTGACTAGAAGATAGGTCAGTATGTACTGGCAGGAGTGAACTAGAGCAGTAAGGATTTCGGATTTCCAATTGTGTAACTGTGGCAATAGCAAAATGAATCCCCTTCCCCAGTTAAAGAATTGAAAATAAGAAGGGACCAGGAATGGAGCTTTGAGTGAAAGGACCATGAGCTCAGTTCTGGTACTCAAAACAGTTCTCTGGACTCATAATTCTTTCATTCCAAATGTGTGCCTTTTACGAAGTTGATGGATATTAGGGTCCTGGCCAGAACAAAACAGAACGCACAAGTCGTATGTCTGCCCACTCCTGCTGTTTGACAGTGTTGTTGGAGCAAAAGTCCTAATCATGGTATAAATCTAGCAAATACTTGCTCATATGTGGATGTTGTGGGTGTACTCTCTACCAGTATGCAGGTACAGAAGGCTATCTAGCAATGTTTTACAAAATGCATTCAGTGCAACATTTTGTGCATGTTTGAGTTTATCCTACTTGCTCTTGCAAAGATGAGCAAGCCAAACTACAGCCTCTGCATTCAGTTCAAATTGCATCTAAGCAACATGGCAGATGATAAGCAACAGGTAAGGAAGCACATCGAGATTAAGGAACAAAATATATGTCACTGCTTGCCCAGTTTCTGCATGAATGAGGGCACATATACTTCAGAAAAACACTCAATATATGATAAAGGCATTTGACCATACTTTTTTCAAAGGGTTTAATTCCTGCTGGGAAAAGGTACACAGCAAACACTCAGAGGCACTGGGCACATTTTTGAAAACAACCTGGCAAGTGATAAATATAACTTTAAAATCAAGAAATTAATCATTCTTATTACTTACATTGCAAAATTTTAATGTTCAAATGCAAATTTTAAAATTGTGTGGTTATTCACAGCTGCCCAATGGTGCAGGCTGCATTGTACATTAGCCTTCCTGCCTCCATCTTATATTGCAATTGTTGCAAAAAAAAAAAAAGACCAGAGCAGGGAAGGGATGGGAAGAGAAGGGAAGAAGGTTGATGACATTTTGCAGAACAGGTAATGATATTTTACCCATTATTACCAAAACAGGCAATGTTGGTGTAGCTTACAGAGAAGCTATAATACCCTTCGATTGGAACAAAAATGACTTAGCAGACCATTAAGGGCAAACAAAAAATCATACAAGAAGTTTGGGGGATATGGCATATTGAAAAACAGCATCAGGACAACAGGTCGGGAGTGTTGCATGCTTTAGCAGACATTAAATGCGGTATAGATTCGTTTTAAATCACTGATGTAATTATGCTCCGGGTATTCCTCTACTCTGTACTTTTTTTGTCATAGAATGCACCGGAACAGAGTTCCGGCACGTTTTTTTCGACAGATTTTCCAAATTTTAAAAGGAACTCTTGAAAATTTGATGTTTGGTCCACGTGGATTTGAATCGCCCTGTCGAGCGTAGCAGATCGGCGGCAAAATCATTAAAACGGTGCATGCGGGCTGCTTGTGTGTTGAATCCGATGCATGAGTACTTCGTCCGCGCTGGTTGTGATGGCGCTGCTCGGCTTGTGGCACTGCTTAGCTTGTGGTAAGTTGTGTGGTCGTGCGCTGAGTGCTTACTGTGGGCGGCGACTGTTGTTTCGTTACACAACTGATGTGTGTGGGTGTGTGTGCAGTGATTGACTACGTGCGAAAGATAAATAATTTCGTGAGTTCCGGCACCTTTTTTCTTACAAAAAAGCACTGCCTCAATTTGTCCTCCCGCCCACCATTGGAGGCTGCAGAAGGGCAAGTAAGAGAGAGAAGGGGCTGCGTAACACAGACAAGAGCCAAATTAGGTTATAAGCTATAAGCAAAGCAAAACAAAGAAACGGGGACAGGGTGACAGACAAGGGGACCCTCTCCAGAATTTATTCAGCAGTCAAAGCATGCAAACTTCGTCTCAGTGACAGCAAAGAGCATATCCGTGATCAAAGAAGTCTTACAACTCTCAGCACGCTGGCACGGAAATGCTGGAAGTTGCAGGATTTGTTCTCTATCCTGCAATACTATGCGGGCTTACTCGGAGTAAATTCCAGAAACCGCAATAAGGTTTACTTCTAAGTAGGCCCCGCCCCGCCCCGCAATTTACCGTGGAGCAGTCAGCCGCCTCGTGGCCAAAAGGCACGGCTAGAGCCTCGGCTTCTCGCCCTTCCCCTCCATTCCGGAAGAGGGGACAGGCAACTGAGAGCCAACCAGAGAGAGCGAGAGCTCGACCCGCCATTCAGGCAAGCGCCTGCTGGGTGAAGCTTACCACGCTCCGTTAAACGATATTATTAAAAGTCCGGCCGTTACGCCTCCTTTGCCCCGCCTCGCGGCGCTGCGTCCAATGAGAAAGGAGTGGGCGAGGCTAGCCGCGGCTTCCTTCCAGATTGCTATATAAGGCACTAGCGGAACGCTAGAACAGCCTTTTCGCCCGGACGCTCCGAGGCAGGTGAGGTTGCGCGGGGAAGGGGACCGCTGGCGGGGCGGCGTCGCCATTTTGTGGGTGGGTTACGCTTCCCCTGCTCTGGTCTTCCCCCTCCCGTCCTACTGCTGCCCTTTAGTTTCGCCGCTGTCCGCATCCCGCTTAGCGAACGGATGCTGCGTGAAGGCCAAGTGTTCTTAATCCCGAGCATGGAGTGTCCGGGGGGGGGGCGGGGGGAGGATGTGGTAGAGATGAAGGGCTCGAGTAGATTCTTGGGAGCTTCAGGCAACAGCCTGGGACTAAAGGTAACCTTGAGGAAATGCCAACCGCTATATTCCCTGATACAAAAGTAGGAGATGTTTCTATCGCCCAAGTGTGTGTGTGACCATTTGCCTTAACTTCCCACGGAAAATTATCCGCCGTTGCAGTAAACACGTACCAGTTGCACCGGTGGGGATTCAGCTATGAGCGGAAAAGCGGCACGAGGAAGCCCCTTACTAATGCAGGTTTTTGTTAAGATTGGAGGGAAGTTGCCGATTTCTGCGAAACTCTGAAAGCTATTAAAAACCCGCCCCCTTTAGTGTTGGAGGAATCGATGCAGGGATATCTATGCATTAGGACCGCGATTCCGTACACTCTTGCTAAATTTTAAGTTACCCTGAACTTGATGGGACTTAATGCCAAATAAATGTAGGTGGGATAGAATATGTTAGATTCTGGGTGAAGAGGCTGTATTTCATTGATTGCAGCCCCTTCTGTATTTACAATATCAATTGTTGGCAAAACTGGATTGGCTAAAACTGTGTGGAGAAGGGACTATTCCTTAGGTGGTGTGAGCCAAAATTTGCTCAGCTATGAATGTTTGTATGTAACTTTAATGTGTTGACAGCATTTCACGTGGTAGTGTTTTATCCTTAACAAGTCTGTAAGATTTTTTAGCTTCTACATGGGTGGTTAGGGTTTAAGTGGTTGCAGAAACGTAATTTAAATACTTGTATGATTCTTTAACTGTAATTATGAAATATAAATATTGCAAAGAAGAAAACATAATTGTAAATATAGTCTAACAAACTAGGCTACAACAGCATCCATTGTTGGGTAGCGTATACCATGAATCATCACTTTTCTAAGTAAAAGTTAAGTAAAATACGGTAAAGTGGTATGTGCAAGGCCCGTTAATTTAATAGGTGAATTAAAGCACTTGTGCAGTACTACTGCTGCTCTATTATTTCTTTTTGTGTCTTGATTGTTTGCTTAATTCTGTAATCTGATTTTAAATCTTGCCTGTATGTTCTAGGAATGAAAATTTTATCAGTGCTGATACAAAAAACTGGTAAGTTTCAAATACCAAACTTGAAAATCCTTGTGCACTTTGATTTACATTTTATAAAGTGGTTCATCTATTAATTTCATTGCTGACAATTTCAAATGGGTGTTGGAATGTCAACTACTTTGCATCTTGAATTGCGTAAAAGAGAAAGATCCAGAAAATTACTTTTGATCATAAATGCTTCGGTATAATACTTCTATGTCCAGATAATATGTTGTAGGAAGTTGCGAACATTCTGTGAATGAATGACCCGCCCACTCATTCTACTTGGTTAACCACTACAGTAGTTCATAGCGTTCTGTTTCAACATATACTTCAAAAGGTTCTATGTACAATATAGAATTCTGTTAGACCAGGATATCATTGTAAAGAAACTTGTTTACCTGCTGAAAGTTATTTTATATTTTAAATCTTATTTTCAGATTATGAAAACAGCAGCATACCTAGAAAAGTTTTTAATGGAAGAGAATGGATTTTCCTGAGTACATTATGGTGAGGATAACAGTGTTTCCTCTTGTGCTTACCAATTGTATGAAGAGAAAGTGTGAAATTTGGGAGAGAGAGAATGTGATTAATTCATTATCTGAAGTAATTCTGATTTGAGTTCTAGAATCAGTCCTGTAACAGGGTCAGTTGTCTTAGCTAAGTCATATGCATTGCTCTGTAGTCAAAATAATTTAAATGGGTCATCATGTGAACAAAGGGTATATCTATTTGATTTAGTTTGCAGCAATTCAGATATTTAGTTCTAAATTGGAGACTTAGTTTAGTTGCAGGGATTTTGTTTGAGCTTAAATTTTTCCCAAGCTGAGAAATAGGTTCATTTCATGTCCCACTTTTGTGAAACTTAATTTTTGCCCGTATACCAATGTACTCTAATCCTTAACTGAAATTCTGGATTTTTAAATTTAGAAGGATTGAGCTAATGGGTTGGGAAGAACAGCTCACACCATGATTCTTTTCAGTATGTAAAATTTGAAAATACTGGGGTGCTGTGACAGTACATGGCAGAAAAATACAAAATAAACTGACCGCTTTTGACAGTTTATTTTGTAATGGAGTTGTAGAAAAATTTAAAAAGCAATAATGTACATTTGCTCATACTACATTATAGAAATTGTACATTTTTATAAGTTCAATGTGTACAAATAGATTTGTTAAATTATATCAGTGAATGATTATGGAACAAACAGGTAATCTGCAAATGGAAAGTATACATTCCCATGTTCAGTGGAGTCATCTTGTAGGCAGCTGGAAGAAAAGATGGGAAATCTGTGCTGTTGGTGTGGTACACTGGAAACTGCTTAGACCTGGTGCAGATTTGCAACCTGGATGAGTGCTTTTCTTCCTGGCTTTAGCCATGGTTTTATTGATGCATACTGGTACTGCCATGTAAATGTTTGGTATACTTTGTTTCAAACCATGACTTGGGTATTGAAATGATAATAGTTTTGTTGTTTACAAGTAAAGGGCAACCTTGTCTACTAGAAAAGGAAAAGGGAGTAAGCTTTTAATCTTGTATGTTTTCTTCTCAGGTCTGATGGAACTTTTTTCTGATAAAGGTATGTGTATTAAATATTTATATTGAGAAATTAATTGGGTTTTGGTCCAGCCAGTGATGAGCCTATCCCGAACCTGATTCTGTGATGAAAAACTGCCAATATGGATCCGGCTTCTGAGGTTACATTGCCAGTTATTGAACCCCTATTTGGTTTGCAGAAAAGATTATCTACCATGTTTTGTTAACACATGCTACTTTCTGTATACTCCTTTCATTTAGGTTAGCAGGAAGCTGGGCAGAAACTGGGATGGATTGGGCTCCTGATGATCCATTTCCTAACCTGCATAAAGCAAGTGGAATACCTTGGATTGGTAAGTGTCTGAATTTAGTGAAAGGTCAGTCTAGGTGTAGTCATTAGTTTTGCATAACTTTAAGGTTGCAAAGCTGAGCACATTCATGGGAAAGTAATCTATTGAATGCAGTGGGATTTCTGAATAAACATTTTGGCCATACTAGCTGAGGATGATGAAAAGATGTATTCAAACCAGTTGGAAGACACCAATCTGAAGAATGTTACTCCAGATGGTGTCAGTTTCAAGTAAAATCAAATACACAGCACATCTAGCTAGCAGCTGTTGGTTACCTTACAGCTGCATCTGCACTCAAACATGCAAATAGGGTCAGTGGAATTACGTGTATATGTAGATTAATTTTTTGATATAAAACTTTAAATGTCTTATTGCTTTCTGAACAGTGAAATGAATGTTTTTGGGCTGAAGACTAAAGCCAGTCTATGATGTCTACTGTAAAAACAAAGGTAGGATGTGCAAACTTTTGATCTATAAACAATTACTATGGGATAAACTGGACAAGAAATTAAAGCTGCAAAGATATACAAGAACTTGAGGCAGGTGAAAATTGAAACAACATGTTTTAGTGTACTTCATGTCCCCTAAATGTAGTGATGACAAACCTAAGCTGCTTGACTTAAGCTCATTGCTAAGATTTCAAACTAAAAGTGTAGGATGTAGCCTAAGTTAACTTTTTCCTTGTGATCTGTAGATATACTATAGAATGTTCTTTTAATCAATTGTAAAATCCCTTTTTCTCCATTTTTAGTGCTAAGAAGTCGAATGGGAACATTACATGAAGCCTTCGTGTGTAGCCACATCCTGCATGAAGTCAAAACAACTTCAAGCTTTTGGGGAAATCAGCTTGCAATTTATCAAAGCAATAAACATTTAAAACCTTGTTAAAATTTTGTATGCATGAGGAGGGACCACAAAAAACCAGGAACTATTTTTTTCAAAGGTAGGCACCTTGTAGTACAGGCTTCCTATCCTACCTACTAGGTGGGTGTTGTAGGAACCCATCTGCATCAGAGTACCAGCTGGGTTGTTAGAGGCTGTGTTTTGCTTTGATGAATGTTTTTTGGAGACTTTCTATCCATTATTTGCCTATTTTGTGAGGATTGATTTACATGAACAATATGTGGTGGTGAAATTGTTTCCTGTTGGGGAAAAATGCAGGGGAGATGGTTATGCTACAGAAAGCTTACAAGGAAGCTGCTCTGAGTAAAACATAAGCTTATGAATGATTTTTCCTGTTTTAAATGCAACAAAATGTCAATTGATCAAACTCATTCCAGTTGTCCTTCAACCAGTCAAACTGATGAAAATGTAAATTCATCAAGCCATCTTGTAAGATCACTGTCAGACCATTGAACTTGTGGAGTTCCTGTCTGAATTTTATTGGATGACTTGGGCATGGAACAAGTTGCAGCAAAATTTGTGCCTCACTTGCTCATGCCTGAACAAAGACAATTGCTTGGCTGCATGCCATGCTTTGAAGGAGCAGTTGGAGGCAACAGCAGGGGCTTGGACCTGATGGTCTTCATGGCCCCTTCCAGTTGTACCATTCTGTGATTTTATGGCCCTGTTTTTTTTTTCTGAAAGTCATAACCAGAGATATGACTTAGTGCTATGCCTACAACCCTGAAATGAATAGCAGTTCAGCTAATGGAAGACTGCCACATCCCCATGACCCAAAAAAACATGGCAAGTGAAGTTGAATGTGAAAACATGTTTCTTTTCAGGTGAGAGGGATTGTGCACTCAGAATTTGTTCCTCTAGGTCAAACAGTCAAAGTTTTTATCTGGAAGTTTTGAGAATGTTGCATCACTAAAGAAGTGTCCTGGGTTGTGGCAGAGGTGACTTGTTCCTCCACCAGAACAACACCTGCCTACACCATGCTGAGTATTCAGTTTGACTAAAAAGGCATGACCCTTGTGCCTCACTCTTCCTATTCACCCAATCTTACTCCATGTGACTTTGTTTCTCCAGAAGAAAAAGGTCCTCAAAGGGAAAGATTGTCAATGTGGAAGAGGTGGGAACAAAGAGGCACTAAAAGGCATCAAAATGGATGAGTTCAAAAGCTGTTTTTGTGCAGTGGAAAAAAATGATGTATTGCATCAAATGTACTTTGAAGGTGACTGAAGTTTGAACATGTAAAAATACTTAAATCCTGAGGTTTTTGGGTTCCTGCCTCATTGATATTTGTCTTGTATAACCTTCCTCAAGCAGTATATAAGTAGTCCCTGGGGTTATGAACATATGGGTTATGAAAAACCTGCACTTGCAAACATGGGCTACCCTAAGCATCAGTTGCTGCATAGTTCCCTAGAGATACAATATTCACGGCATTTTGTTCTGCACTGTTGGCTCAAGCGTACCCAAGCCAGTGTGTTTCAAGGAATGTGTAGGGTGCCTAGTTCACTTTTTTTGCAATTTTCCTTCTAACCATTCCCTTGAAGTAGGGATGGCAAAGTTCAGAGGAGCAAGATCCTAGCATGAAAGGTTTCTTAAAAGTTTACTGTGCAGTTGCTGCTACAAGACCATTTATGAGGAAAAAATGGCTGCACAAACCATTAATGCCTGCTTTAAAAAGTGACTCAAGTGGTAACCTGTCACCAGCACCCCCAGCAGCCTGGCTCCAGCACCAAGTCCACTTCCAACAGTTTAGATTGTTACCTAAACTGTTCTAAATATTCTAAACTGTTTTGTGTAATACTGTACACACAGACCTCTCTGCTCAGTACTCATACTTTATTACTGTTATTACAATGCTGTATTAAAGATACTTTGGTCAATATGGAAGTTTTCTTCAGTGTTTGTGTAGAATGGTAAAACATGACAACCATTAGTTTATTCATGTGATTTGACTTGCATACAAATACAACTTAAATGTTCTCGGGAATAGAACTTATTCTAAACCCAGGGAGTGCCTGTAATGGTAATGTATTCTGAAGCAATTCCTCAAGCTGCTTGGTGTAGGTTGAGGGCTTAAATTTAAGCTGTGCTAGATAAAAATAGCTCCGGCCATGAATGAGTTAAGCAGGTAACTGGGTATCCTAGAATTGTTAGAGCATTTTTATGTAAAGGAAATTGGCTACTCTTAAGCAATAATGAATCACTATTTTGATTGTGAATAGGCTAGGAGCATTGTTGCTCTTGGCATATTCAGCTTGTTAGAGCATATTTCAGTCATTAACATGGAAATAGTCTGGAATGGAAAATCTTGTAAGAAGATTCATGAAAGGTGGTGCAGTTGCAGTAATGTAGTTATATAGTGTGTGTACTTAATTGCTAGGTGCATGGTACAATTTTATCGAACAGGAAGTCAGAAGGGGCCTCCTGGGCCATCTAGTCTAACCCCTGCCTCCAGCCAGTGCTACTCATGACATGTCTACAATGCCTACTCCAGACATTAAGGGGGAAATGCAATAAAGAGCACTAAAATATGTAGAATACGCTGCTCTGAAGTAGACAAAATGGTACTGAGTTTTGATTCCAAGAAAAAGCCTTTCCACTTAATAGGTGCTCTGATCGATGCATTCTAGTGAACAAGCTGTATAGTGAAGGCTATTCTGGGTCAATCTCAGAATGGTCAGGATATTGGTACAAAGGTCATAAAGAGTTCCTAGATAAAATATTTTGAAAGCTGCATATTTTTCAGAAACTTGTAGAAGTTGATTTACTAAGTAGCAGATCAAGACAGACTAAAAGTTACTGTATATTTCGAAGAAAGCACCATGCTTTGTGGAAGATAAAGTGGAAAAAGCTGGGTACAAGCTAGAACCAGTAAACCTTAATTTCAACTACTTTGGCACTTCATTTATGACAGAATGGCTTAAACTGACCTATTGCATAGCTAAGATGGTAAGGTACCTAGACAAGCATTGTTTGAATCATGGGAGTAGTTGGCAGTGCAGCTATTCCTGTAAATGCCTGACACTGCACATAGTTGCATTTATATAGAGACATGCAACTTGAACCTACGCAGGTTCAATTGCCGAGTGCAACTTTCCTTTAAGGAAAGCACTTGGAGTGCATTAGAACACATGCTTTTCACTGAAAAGTCTAGCGCCTGGCATCCATAGGAAAGGCAAACTTGCCAGGCAGAGCTAGGTGAGCCAATGGTCTTAGCTGTTACTTATATTCCTATTGGTGTTAACTCTGCACAAAATGTCAAGAAACCCCAGGAATTCAATATTTAAACCCTTTTTTGTACATAAATGCTACTGAATTAAACCAGTTTTAATCACCAAATGTGGTTTGGGAATGCCATTGCTCTGAGGTGGCATTCCAGTGGTGGGTGGGGCAGAAAGCAAAAGGGATAGTACCACATGTCCCAAAATACCAGCATACTTTAATTTTGAGTTTTTAGTTAACAGCCTTGGGAGAAAGATTTCAACCAACCTAGAATAGGAGGAAAGCTAGGAAATAGCCAAGCAATTGAGGGTTGAGGGAAAGGATGTGCCCATGAAGGGCCAGGGGTTTATACTGAAACTAGAATTGCTACTGAACACACTGCTTTTTGGCCCTGCTGCATTGCTGTTGGTATCAAAATCAAATTATGTGTTCCTGTGGAAGGCTCAGTCTGGCAAAATGTGTGCTGTACATTTGATGGAGTTAATTTCTATTTCAGGTGTATGGCTGTTTTACAAACAGCAAGACTACAATCTATTGAAAAATGCTTTAAAAAACTTTTTATCAGCAGATATATGCAGATTTAAAGCATTATTGAAGATGTCTCTCCACTGGCACATCTAGTTTTCTCTGTTTCCTAAACATTTTTGAGGCAATAGTACTATAAGCAAGGTATTAGTCAATATAGCATGAACAACATCACCAATGGCAGATTTTGTATCTTGCCTTTCTTCTGAAGAGTGGCAGTCCAGATGGCTTCAAAACATAGTAACTTATACAATGTTCAAGAGACATAGCATAGCCAGTTTTCTGCTGATGGCTGAAAAGCAAAGCATTCTGCCAAGAGGTGGGTAGCACGCTTACTGCAAGTCTCTCTCCGTTAACCAAAAAGTCTTGTCTCCTGCTAGTTGTCTACAGTATGGCAAGGGGATGTAAGGGAGAGTGGCCTATGTGACACTAGATTGTAGAGCAGCTTGCCAAGGAGGTGCCCTTGATCATCATCGCCTACTTTTTGACTGCTGGTGAAGGATATTTTGTTTCCTTGCTCATTTAACTGCATTTGGCTTTCTGGTCTTTCACCTGCTACAAGACTGCCTTTTAAGAAGGAGGGCTGACTGCAGGGCAGGAGTGCAAATCCCTCTCCGGTTTAATTTATCTACCAACTCTACATACTCTCTTATTTCTAATCCTGGTACTGAGAATGCCCAGGAGCTTGTCTGGGGAGCCCGGCTGCAGGGAGGGTTCATCTTTTCTTACACAGTACACTTTTCTCTTTAAAATAGCATCTCAATCACCCAAAGAATTGCCTGCCTATGGAAATCAGAAATTGGGCAGATGACTATTTGTAGCGTCTGTCACTCCTGTTCCGGATTTTCTTCCTAGCCAAATTTGCAATGGGATAGACACCAACTTTTGCCCAACTTTTTATGAACACTTACTAGTATGAATTGGCACCAATGCCTGTTCAACCAAAGAATGTTAACATTTGTGTAGCTTCACTTAGTTTTAGTCTGTTTTTATTTATAATATGGCATTTAAGTAGAATTGTGGCCCAGCTTCAAAGCTATAGGTAGAAAGAAAAGGAAAAACAAGAGTTCTGTTTTCCAAATGCCATCCTAAACTATATTAATTTTCACTCCATATAAACCAGGCTGTGAGCGAATGAGCGGTTTTTATACTTTAAAAAAGGTATAAAATAAAAGCAGCAATGACCTAAAAGGAGCATCAAATGGCCTTTCTGCATTTGCGCCTCAAGCCCAAAGCTACTCTTTGTGGCGCGGAGGCCTCTGACTCTCGTACCCAACACGAGGATCTCCCGGTTTTTCTCTCCAGAAGTTGCCCGAAGAGGGGGACGAACTTTCTTTCCCCTCCCCTCGGTGCAACGAACAGCGTGGAGGACTAGCTCCGGCTAGCTGCGTAAGCGCATGCGTGCGCAGCCGCGCCTTGGCTGCTGTGTGTCTGAGAGCTAAGCCACCCAGCAGCGGGCGGGGCGATAACCCTTGTGGATCTGCTCGGGAGACCCCGGCGTTGGGGCTGCGCCAGCGCGCGCGCGGCGCCTCCTCCTCGCCGCCTCTCCCCTCCCTGCTTGCGCCGAGTGGAAGGGGGCTGGGGTTGGTTGGTGCCAGCAGCGGCGTGAGCGTTCGAGCGGCCGCCATTTTACGCAGGCTCCTGCACAATCTCCGGACACGCTGAGGGAGCGGAGAAGGGGCAGCTCCCCAACCGGGCCCCCCCGCACCGTCCCCCTCCGGAGCCCTTTCGCTCACCATTCATCACACCCGCCGCTCACCCACCCAGGTCAGCAGCCGCCCCGGCTTGTCAGGCAGGGAGGGCACGGGAGGGAGAGAGTCGGTTAAGAAAAAGGGACCTGTAAAGACAAGGAGAGGTTCCTGGGGAGGAGCGAACGGGGTGGGGGGCATGGTGAGAGAGGAGGTGGCTCCTTGAGTAGCCGGTTCTGGGCAAAAATGGGGCTGGGATGAACAAAGAGGACGACGCTGCTCAGCGGCCCTGTCCTGTTCAGCGAGGAGCTGGTGTTGAAGCGGCACTTGGCGCTGCAGGGTCGGTGACATTAGGCCCCACAGACGTGACGGGCGGCTGCGGGAGGGCGGCGGGGAGAAGGGAAGCCGCTTCTTTCCTGAGAAGGGGTTCCAGCTGCCTCATTGTCCAGGCGGCAGCGCCATTCATTGGCCACGAGGCGCCACTCGGGTAAGGTGGGACGAGATGGAATAGGGCAGTGACTGCCGTCGCCGATGTGGCTGCGGGACTTGGGGGTGAATTGGGGAGGACGGGTGTCGTGTGCCTCGAGTCACGTAATGGGCCGGGGTGGGAAGCTGGTCTGGGGCGCCAACTCCTCACGTTGGAATTGGAACGGCATGGCGGGGCAGTAGAGAGGAGGTCTGGAGTATGATTTGTATGCATTGTTCCGGGGCGGGAGGAGGAAAGACGTGGAGAAGTGTCGTACGCTCATTTTATTCTCTTATCTCTGCCCCCCCTCCACCCCTTTCCGCGTGGCGAATTAGGGCCCAGGGTGTTGCAATTCTTCTCCCGGAGGGAAAGGGGGGGTGAGAGGGACAGACTGCTTTTCCGGGGGGGGAGTTGGTCGCTGGAGGAAGTTGTAAGACATTTGAACGCGCCGAGCACGTGTTTCCATCAGGCTTATGGCGGAGGCCGCCACCTGGGCTGAGTGCGGGCTGGCAAGCGCTTTGTTCCTTTTGCCTGATTGCTTTAGGCCCTGTCAGAGAGGCGGGAAGGTGATACGCCTGGAATGTAGACGAGGGAACAGGGCCTCGTGAGAGGTAACGATGGGTAGAAATGAGTGATTAGGATACAACTGGCAGCGAAGGGTAGTGGCTGTATCGCGTGGTGGTGTGTGCACGATCTTCCCCGCTTTTGCTTCTTGTTCTATTTCTAACTTCTTCAGAGATTCTTAGGGCGTGCTAAAGAAGGAGAGGGACATGAGTCAGAGCGTTTGGCTGGATTGTGTAAAACATGCAGTAAATTCTTAACACCCCCGCTAGGCTGTGGTTCTTTAGGTTTGCCTTTGCGCTATCGCTTGAAAAGGATTTGTAAGCTTTCTGTTTGCAAAAGTAATAGGGAAAACCTGGTAAATTCTCTAAGTCTCTAGTAGGTAGCTGCATGTATTGATACCCGCATTGCTCGGCTTTA